AACATGCCGCACGCGACCCCTGTGCTCCTACTTGGCTCACAGCAAGTTCCACTGAACGTTACGAAGCCCAGACTGCACCAATCGCACCTAAGCATGTGATGCACAGCTGGGAGAGGGCCCCTTCCCCACATCTGACTCCCCCTTCGTTCTCTTCCTGAGCACTTGAAAACGCAAACCCTGAATGAGTGGCAGCAGCCTGGAGAACGGACACGCCCCGTCTTCTCCTCCCCTCTGTGCTCCCTCAGGAGCTGTACCTGAGCCAGGGGACCCTCTCGCTGGGTGGGAGCCTGCAGCTGTGGGATCTGGCAGAGGAACGGTCTGATCAAAGACTGCATGTCACATTTTCTCCAAGTAAAAAAGCCACGCAAGGGTTAACCTATTTATGTCGCAGAAGGGGAATTCCTGTTCCAAAGTCTACAGCATCAGGACCGCATGAAGCTGACTTCAGCCTGCGGATCCTCGTGCCACGGTGTAACTGCAAATCCGATCAGATGCGTCCCTAGCTAAAGGTGCCTAAGATCAGACTGTGCATCTCTACTATGTCAGGTATCAGAGAGTTGAGCTCTTTCCTTTTTGACTAATCCTCCTTTCCTGCAATCTGTCTGTAAAGCGGTCGAGGTCCGCAGTGTGGTAAAGGACAGCAAAACATTTACTTGCTCTTACCACTATGCTCTGCTCCCTTTCCGTTGGGCTTGCCTCGCACTATTAAATGGTGCTTTTGTTCACCAGCTGCTGCCTTCAAACTAGCAATATGAGGAGGAGATAGTGACCAACAACGGCAATACAGGAAAAATCCAACTCATACCGGCATTCCAGACACGGCCACAGCGTTTCATCAAAAATTTAGCTGGCCACCTTCAGCAAGGAGAATTTATCATGGCTTAATTTAAAATGATACATCAAAACTTATTCTAACCACATTACCTGACTGGTTCTTTTGTGAAGAAGTGGTTTCTGTGACCTTAGCAGAGTTTGTTTTTGCTGTTTTGTCATTGCTTGTCTCCCTCTGTTACGAAAAAAACAAAAGCAAAAACGAAAAAATAAAAAATCCTCCTAATTGGATAAATGTGGAAATTATTCCAGGGCTACTATTACCAGACAAAGGATTTTGCTTCATTCATATTGCTTTTTAAGCACAAAATCAAAGCAAATGCAATGGCAGGAGAAAAAGCCCCCCACTCAGATGGACTCTCTCAGTAAAATGCACTATCTTTTAAAACAATTATTTATTTTAAAACAATCCATGTAAAAGTCTTTCAGTTTGCAGTCAGAATGGTGTCACACTGATCTCGTTTGGCCATAAAACTCAAGTGGAAATCACACAAGGTTTCAAGAGCAGAGGGTCATCTGGCAAGCACTGCACTTGGGTCACACACACCATTCCTCCAGTAATGCAGGGAGCTAAAATTTTCATTTCCAATTGCCGCAGGCCACATAAACTACGTTTCCTAAAACATGAGGGTCAGCTTGACTCTGCATGCATTTTAAAGACCAGACCATTATGGAAACAAAACTAGTTTTACCGAAAGGGCACAAAAAACATGCAGCAGCACCTTATCCCCGGAACAGAATTGAGTTGCTTTGTACTGCCAGATGTGTTCCTAGAATGACGGCTTCTCCTCCCAGCCACAGTTCATACAGTGATTTAGACCCGAACGTGCGCTGGGCTGGCTGAATAAAGGCTACATGCATTGTGTGGGCCCGGACAAGATCGTGCTAGCACCACCCCATGGCTGCTGCCCCGGCAGCGCAACCGACCGCGCCCCGCCTGCTTCCCGAGGCCGATTCCGGGACGGAGGCCACCCCAAGACTGAACGGAGAGGAGACGCGTGTCCAGACTCGTCCGAGCAGCCGCCTGTGCTTGGAGGAGCGCGATGCACCGCCTGGGGCGGCACCATGCCTTGCACGTGGCTTGTGCTGCTCGACGCACAGGGCAATGCTGGGGCTCCCCATCCTCCCGGACCCTTGGGCGCGCTGGGGAATTTAAGAAATCCCTGCGGGCACCACCGCAAAATGGCTGCCACAGAAGACAAGGCTGGCCACGCAGGGGCTGCTGCCACTCACCTGCCGTGTCAGTGGCAATTCGTTTCAGGAGGGCTGCAAAAGGGCGCCCTGCAGGTCCTGTCCCCCCAGGCATGCCCAGACGTGTGGGCACTACTCTCCCCAGCCTGAACAGACTGCAGGATGTCCCCCCGCCTCAGCCCTGGGCTCAGCACTCTGCTCCCTGCAACGGCTAGAAAAAAGGGCAAGGCGGAGAGCAAGAGCAAGGCTACGGACTGGGAGGAAGACCAGCAGCGACTAGAAAGAGGGAGAGCAGAAGACCAAAGAGGCTGGGCAAAGAAGCCGTGGGCTGGAGGTTGGGAGAGCAGGAGGACCAGAGCAGCAGAGGCCTGTCTGGGCAGAGGGCAGGGCAGGGCAGGGCCGGAGAGGAAGAGGTCCTTGCCTTTTTCACGGTTTGTGTCAAACACCCGTTTTCGAAGGGGCCAAGGAGTAGTGAGCTTTGCTGCTGCTGCTGGAGGCCCCTGTGCTCAGGGAAACCTCAGAGGACCTCGACGAAGGCCCATGTGGGAGGCAACTGCCTCCTCCCACCCACAGTCCTGAAGGACTCTTGCTCCCCACTCCCCAAAGCCAGAAGCCAGCCTGCTGGCTCATCTAATGACTTTCCTTGCAATTCCAGGAAGAAGGCGAGAGACTACCAAACGGATGGCAACAGCTCATGCAGGGATCGGGGCTGGAGTCCGCTCATGGCATTCAACTCTTGAGATGGCCAAGATTCCTTAAGAGCTGAAACGGGCAGCTTCCGAGTTAATGCTAGCAGGGGACTCCACTGCCACCACCCGGCTAAGATTCCTTCTGCCCCGGTTGGGGAGGACTCCCCCAGGTTCTGGGCAGGCAGAAGCACTCGCTTCCCTCACAAGAAGCAGCCGCACTAGGAAGCCTTTGCTTCGGATCACAGAGAATCCCCAGGGCTGTCTTCATAACCTGCTAGGCCTTTGGAGGGAATTCCCACAGGCTGGGCTCAAGGCGCTCCCCTTGCACACCAGAACCCTCTTGGGCTTATCGCAAAGCGGAGGAGGGGAAGGGGCCAGAGGAACATGGCTTACCATGCAGAGAAAGGTCATCTGCAGCTGGCAGAAATGGACTTCTTTAGGGAAACAGTGGCAAGTGCCCAGAGGAACGGGCGGAGGAGCACCATCAAGTGAGAGGATTCGGCTGATCCCTGCCCGAGGCGTCTTGCCCTGTCGGTGGCTCAGCTCCCCGGATTCGGGCAAGTGGTGGGCTTGCTTGTCCAGTGATCAGTGGGATGGAGCGAGTCCTAGGCCAGGGCACAACTTGCTCTGCCCCGGGCCTGGCCTAGACCTGGTTCCAGTCTGCCCTCTGAAGTGACCCACGGCGGCTCGATTCACCCACGGGATGGGCATGCTGTGCCAGACACCAAGCAGCCCCTTCCTCAGAGGCCCTGCTTGCTGTGGCTTGTTCTGCAAACCCAGGCAGCAGTGGGTACCCACAAACAGGCTATGTTGGGTTTTAGGGTTTGCACAGTAGAACGAGGCAGAGCAAGCCGGGCACCTGCTGTGACGCAACAGGTAAGTAAATTAAGCCGAGGTATTCTGTTGCCCTGTGTGAACAAGGCCAGAGAGTAATTAGCAGAGAGATCCCAAATGGGGTCTTCACCTGACGTGAAGTTTTGCTCAAGCAAAGGGCAGCCAAGCGAGTCATTCTCCTGATTCTGCACTGCCTTGAGCGAGAGCGCAGGGCATGTATTTACACTGAAACCATGCCAGGTCTCTGAGTCGCCAACAAGAGCAGTGAAAAAACCCACCGCAGTCCTAAGAGCAAAGAACAGAAAGATGCCAAGAGACACTGTGGACCAGTCCCGACTATGGACCTGCCAGCCCGTCGCTCATCGCCCACGCAGGCAGGCCGACGCAAGCTGCATCCATCTGATGGTGAGCAGATCAGCCCTCGCTTTACTAAAAGCCACTGGTGTTTATAAGAAAGGAATAAGCACGTATGTTTTCCCAAGCAGATGTAACTCAACATACTTTACAGATGATCCTATATTGTTCCCACGTGCGCTAAAGCTCTAGGAACCTCAGCATCAAGCAAACAATTCGGGGCCCTGCTCCTGAATATTAAATCAAGTTGGTCCTCCCCACCAGGAGGAATTGATAAAAATCTGTTCGAAGGCCAAGCAAACATCTGCATACATTGTCACTTCACTTTGGCCAACTTGCTTTAAAGGCCAGTATGCTAGACAAAAGTATCTGACTGGATCCAGGCTTCAGCTGGACCAACTCTACTCAGATGCGGGCTTCCTCATCCCCTCCTTTCCACAGCAGCCCCGCTGCACCCTGAAAATACCAGACAAGAATCAGGGGAGCCTGCTGAATTCACTTGGAGCTTGGTGTGAGAGACAGGGGGTCCCTAAAAATATGTCAGACAGCTGCCAAACGAGCAAATGTGCACAGCATAGCGGAGTCAGCTTTTTCTGAATTTTCCATGCCTGCAAAAATTCTTGCTTGTAGGCCTGTTAATCGCTGCATTTCTGTGCCTACCCCAGTTCGATGAGTGTGGATTACTCGATAAGGAGACAAGAGGAGGATCAATGCAAAGATTACTGCCCCCCTGGAAGCACTGCACATCCATGGCTCTCTAAGGCAGGGCAGAGAAACTGTTCCGGGGGCACTTATGGCATTCTTCACCAGCCCAAGACATCCAACACCCCACACTTCATCTATTGTCGCTCTCGCAGCTTTCTGAGAGCTAATATCCTGTGTAGCAGAGAGGTTCAGAAAAAGATAGATTCACGGATGCATACAAAGCAAATGCTTGCACTTGACTATCAAATGCCAGAGTTGGGTTTTCAGAAGAATCTCAAGACCATTTGCTGCACTGGCTAGAGGAAAGCAAAAGATTACAGAAATTCTGACAAACAGAACAGGATAGCCAAATCGGGTGCTCTATAACATACCTGAACAAGACAACAACATAGTTACCTTCCGATAATTCTTTTTATCCATCCTGAGCCTTTTCCTAGGTGCTTCCTGAACTTCAAAATCTTCTGTGGGTTTCTTTGTCCTCTTTATTGGTTTCCTTTTAATTCCATGTAAGTTACCTTGGAGCAGGGGATGGGGGAAACTTACATGAAAAAGATCTAAAGCTCACTCAGAAATTATCTTGAACTGTTCTAGGAACATTAATGCTCTAATAAATGTTAACAATCCTTAACAACCTGTGGATCACAGCTTTAATTATTAAAACTACTTTTACAGTACACACTTCTCATGACTAAGCTTAAGTGCAAATCAATGCACTGTTATTCTGCAAGTTAACATTATTATCTGGTTTCAAACCATTTACCAATGAATCCATACTTTGAAGTCTGATTCTTGCCTTGGAGTCATTTCTTTTACGAGTAAAGCTTAAGTTGTCACACAATGAGGAGGTATTAACTCTGTCTGTAAGATCACTATGGTGACAGAACATTCCTCTTACATTTCACGAGTAACATAGCAGTACATGTAGCATGTGAATTTATTTCGTGCAAGCCCCATTTTAAATGTTTTGTGACAAAGCCTGAAAAAAATAAAGCCCATGAAGAAATGTTTTTAACACTCCCCATATTTACAAGGTGGCGGGGGAATCAATTTAAAGCCAACAAATCCCACGTTACAGGGCTCCAAGACACAAGATCGGCTGCCCACTTATGCAGCCTATTCCAACAGTTCTGCTCTGGAACATCAAGAGTCTGTGTCAAAAAGGCCAGCTTCTCAGCAGCCTGGACTGAGAGGGAAAAAGGAATCGTAGAACCTTCCGCCTCCCAGTCTCCCATGCTGAACTGCGGTATTTAGCTGAGGAGGCCAGACGGCAGGTCTAAAATGGAGCCAGAGAGTAGGATTCGACTGCTTTGCGAATTGGCTGCTTCGTGGGCAGTTAAGGAATTCAAGCTGCAGGATAAATTTCATTACCCTGTAACCAACTCCAATAAAACTGTTTCTAATTACAGGAAAATGCTACGGGTATTTGTTTGGTCATGTATGGTATCAACTAGGAGGCTTAAAAATACAGCAGCCATCTTGTTATAAATGCCAATATTTTCTGAACGTACCTTGACATAATCTATACTGGCACAGAAGTTATTTTGCAGACTGCTCAAGATATTCCCAAATATGAAAGACATCTTGTATAGATTGTATCGATATGGAATAAGCAATATTCTTTTTAATTATTTTGTAGGATGAATCTATCATAAGGTTCAACAAAAGTCAGCACTACAGCACTCAGGTATTTAATTCAGGATCCATAAAATTTCTAAAGCCGAAGAGCACAACATCTGAGAAGAATGATGATTCGTAAGCAATTACATGAAAGGCACACTTAAAGATTACTTATAACGAATCAATATTACACAGCACAGATTTTAATTACTTCGGGATCTCGATCTCCTTTTAGGCGATTCTTGAAACACTTTGCGTTTCGCCTCTCCCATACTCTTCTGTGACGAACCTTGAGAGATACAGAATGTTGTGTAGTGTTGTTTGCGTTTTTTAAAAACTGACATCCAAATATTTTACACATTGAGACAACGCTGTTAACTTTCCCACAAGATGTTATTTAACACACAGATAACAAAACTGACTGCACTTTTTATACATTTTTCCAAAACTGACAAACCTGTCAAACACATCCTCATTCCTTTCATTGCCCAAAGCAGCAACCCATGGGCTTCCCATTTCTGCAGTAATCTAACCAAATTATGGTCCTAAATATACACTGTATTACTGCTCTGAAGACTACTACTGATAACGATCATAAATATTATCCCTCCAGTTTTCTTCAGACATACTGACTCTTCCAAATAATTTTATTGCCATATATCAGGATAATTAAGCAAAATAGTTATCTAGATACCTAAGTATTTATCTGGCCAAACAAATTCCTTGTAGATGCTTCAGGAAGACAGGAACAACTTAATTACTCATTTATAATTTGGAAACATGTGCTAATAAAGCTATGCCAACAGCTATGCCAACAAAGGGAAACAGGAGTACAAACTACACTATGATTTTAAAATCACCTCGAATGAGAATATGTAAATTTAAACCCTAGGTGTGCTTCTCCTAATGGTAGCTGCTTATAGACAGGAAGGGAATGAGAAACCAGCAATACCTAAACAGCAGGTTTACACAGAGCAACTTTGCAGAACAATGATCAAGAAATGCAGACGCCACTGACTTTATTGTAAAGGCTGCATTCGCTGCAATCAGCACAACACACCAAAATTAGACGTGTGGAACAGCAAAGGCTGCCCTCCCTACAAGTCTCAAACGGGGTGCTTAGTTTAACGCCACTACATATATTAAACTGAGTTAGAGCAAACTAGCACAGTTTTACGTTTACCAGTGTCTTCTTCAGGTTTGGGAGAGGTCACTATGGCAAATTTTGTGTTATAGCGCGCTTTCTGTTTTTCACTAAGCATGTTCCACTGTGATTCCAGCAGCTCTTCGATTTCATCGCTTGCCGCGTCTGGATGTTCAGCAATCACCTGAGCAAACGTAACACTTGTTCAAATATTAGAGCGTAGATTTAGTTAAGACGAATGTTTTATTTCTACACGTTGTCAAGTAAGAGGTAATGGTTTTGTTGCTATCCTAGGGGAGTCGTAAGACAAAATACTTGCTAGTTGGTAACCACACGGGAAGAAGCAATATCCTTCAGCAGTGTGAAGTGTTTTTACTCTGATTTGGCCAGTTTTATCCCACCTTAGGCGGTTTTTGTAAGCTAGTCAAGTTTCTTGTATAAACAAAACTGGGGCACAAACCTTTAAATAAATACAGATATATCATCTTAAATTTTGCTAAAAACAAAACCCAAGCCCAAGCTCAATCCTCTGAGCTGCTACAAACAGACTGAGTTAAGAATCAGAAAAACCATGTTCTGTTATGTATCTAGGAGGCAGACTCAGGCAAAATTTTCATCTCTACCCATCTGCAAGAGGTGCAATTTGAAGGAGGACCATGAAGCACTTTTGGGTAGACTAAGCAGGGCTTAGTCGGGCTGGTTACCTGATGGGAAAAACAAAGTGGGACCCTACGAGCACGGAGCTCAATTGCAGAAAGAAGATGGGTTAAATAATCTCGTATTTACAGTATATTATTGTGATAAAGACTGTGATTTATATACACAGAACACCTTTGAAACTTGGGAAGTGTCCTAAAGGACAAAAATGAAAAGTATCCTAAAGGTTTTCAGTAAATGGGCCTCAATTTCCAGCTTCAGAAATGAAAGGAAGTGCAGCCTTTTAACCCTCAGCAAAACAGTTTTATCCAGTTAGAAGAAGAGGAGCGCTAGGGACACGGTGAGGAACAGCCAGGCTGCTTACCTGGCACGGCTGTTCCTTGAGGGGTCGGGCTCTGCACCCCCATGCTACCCTGCTGTCAGGGCGATCCTATGGCTCAGTGCTGGAGCGGGCGCCCCCCCCCCCCGTTGCAGGCTTACATGGGAGGGGCTCCCGCCCATTCCCACAAATCCCACAACCGAGGGGGGAGTCCTGCACGGCCCGGCACGGCCCAGGTGTGCTTGGAGGGGTGCTGTGCTGCCCAGGCCCAGGCGCAGGCTTGCTCATGGTCTCTGTGCACCACTCAAAAGGGCAGCTAGCAAACGTCCCTCAAGAAGGGTGCAGAAGGGACAGCCAGCCCCTGCATGGACATCCGGCCCGCAGTGCTTGACAACCGCTGAGTGCGTGACCGTGTGGCAGCTCTGCAAAGCTCCAGCAGGTCCATGCCCAGGAGGGCTGTGGGTGCCGCGGGTCCTTGGGTGGGCCGAGGGCTGTGTGCTGACCAGCTGGTGGGCTGGGGAGGTGGCGCTCGCGCCCAGGCTGCTAGGCCTTGGGTGGACAGAGGGGGCTACAGCCCGCTTTGAGGATGAGCGCAGCCCTCGAGTCCCGTGGGATCGGCAGGTCCCGTCCCAACAGGGGCGACTGGTCGTGGTGCCTCTGGCTCCAGCAGTGGCATCTTTCCCTGCGAGAAACAGGCTGATGAGATGGGCCAATGCACTGCCTCGATATGGAAGCTTCCCAAGGTGGTCCGGCTGGGGGTGGGGGGGGGGTGAACTGTCTTTTCTCCTCTTGGTGCCCATCTTGCCAGGCCTGGGTCTTTGTTCAGTACCAGGCACTCAGGCCGCTCTGGGGGCAGATCCGAGCACTCTGGCAGGACCAACTGGGCCGTGATCTTGTCCTATAAGAACAAGGGCTGATGGGGCCACGGTGGCCTGATAGGTGGAGACCTGGAGAGCGCATGCCAAAGCTGCACAGAGCCGCCATGTCACCCCAGCCAGGAGATGGCCTTCCTGGGACTGAGTCTTCCTTCTGGGATCCACCCTGCGTGGCCGTGATGATGGCCCTGCTGGACTGGGGATGCTGGAAGAAGGTTGGCGGCACCCTGTTCAGGGATGCCTTCAGGGGTGGAGGAGCCTTCCACGTCTGCCGTACTGTCTTCAGCACTGCCACCAAGCCCTTGTATTTGGCATGAGAGACATCAAAGACCGTGTCTGACGGGGATGCAGGGTCCTGTGAGCCAATGGTGGTGGCAGTGAAGAGGCTGTCGGGACCGGCTATGTTACCAACTCAGAATCAGGCACAAAGTCCTCTGGGCTCAGGGATGGGGAGGGTGTCCTCGTTCTTGAGCAGCTCAGCACCATGGCTGTTGGGGTCACACCTGGCTCACTCTGTGGCCTTGCACTAGTGCTGGTGGGAATGCTGCCATAACGATGTCAACTAGCTGTGCCCCGAAGTCTGGAGACCCCTTGGTGGCGAGGATCCTGGTTGTCTGCGTGGGATGGTCAGGAGCCCCCAGAGACCACTGCGGAGATGGCAACCAGTCCGAGGCTCCGTCCCAGTTGCTAAGTGCCCCTCTGCTTCTAAGAGCAGTGCTGGTCTTGGTGAGGCAGGGTAGGTCGCTTCGGCATCAAGCCGGTCTCTGAAGGTGCTGGTGTCCACTCCTGTCAGCACCAATGCCTGGGACAGTGGCTGGAATGAAGACTTTGGAGAGCTGTTCCCTAGTTCTCCCTCAGATGCCAACACGCCACAGGTGAGTCCTCCCTCTGCACCGAGAACTGCAAATGCTCCGCAGGTGGAAGTGAGCGATCTCTCAGCATCGAGGTCAATGGGGGCTCTCGCAGAGCCTTCACTTTTCCCTGGGGGCAGCAGACTTCTTTTTGATTCACTCGGAGACCTTCCTGGCCACACAGGTGTAGAACGATTGGCCTGATGTTGGGAGTGGCAGCTTGGCCGGGGCTCCAGCTGCAGCCAGCGCGGGCCTGGGTGATGCTGCCACGGCCTGGGCAAAAGGTCGTCACCCCTTTCGCCTCGTGGAACTGCCAGGCTGCAAGGTCTTCTTCCATCGTTCCACCTTGAATCCACCTGCCCTATGGCTGCAGGTGTTTTGTGAAGGCAGTCCTTGACAACGCGTTCGTTGCCCGGGCAGAGAAGGCAAAGGCAACGCCTATCCATGGGGGAGGCTGCTATCACAGTGTACACATTTTCAAAATGTCGTCATTGAGGCCACCATGGTGGATGGGGAAGGAGCAAGAAATACAGATAGAGTGGTTTGAGAAGGAATACAATGAGTAAAGAGAAAAGTGGAGAGAAATGTATACTTCTATAGAGATTATTTTAAGGGAAAGACTGAAAAGGGCAGGTTCTTGATGGGAAACAGGTATGCAGGTGGTTAAGTATGTAGAGGTAAGAAAAAGTGGTAAGGTCAAAGATCAGGTTTGAGGACAGAAGCACTCCCAATCCAGGTACAGTGGTGGCTGAAAAGGAACTGAGGGAATGGGCGAGCGCCCTTCCTGCATAAACGCAGGACAGGAAGGAGCGTGGCTCCTGCCCAACTGAACGCTAGGCTGTAGAATCTTCCCGACAGCAAGCTCCATCCACGCCAGCACAATGCCCATGTGTGTGATGCACAGAGACCACAAATAATAAAAATTATTTTCCTCCAGGCCCTGAATACTCATGATTTAAATTGCAAGACCATCCATGAAACAGCAAGACTCCTCAGTGGACAGATAATAGTGATGGTGGGAAACATTCAGACACTGTAGCTTGGTTTCAAAGGTAAACTTCATTTTCGTGATCATTTCATTTGTGCTCTAGACAAAATGACCTTGATGGATGTGCCATTTCGTGATTAAAGGTTGCTGGACTGGAGCTAAGATTTTGGATTCCAGTCTTCCCTGAGTTGTGAGGAAGAGGAGCCCCAGTGACAAAGCGTCAGCCCAAAAGCAAGGTAAGCAACTGAGTTTGGAGAAAGTACATGCTATGTACAGATCTCCTCGTATAGTTATTATCTATGCTGATTACCCAATGTACTCATTCCAAAGTCTCACATTTCTCACTGAAGCCAGGACAAAGGCACAGCCAGAGTGCAAATCCCAGGAAGGAACTGAATTCCAGAGAGGAACCCTAGCAAGAAACCAGAGGCCCTGCAGCCTTGCCCAAGCACAGAGCCGTACGTAAACAAAGCTAGTTAAATTGAACCAGGCTTAGAAAGGAAAAGGAAAAGCACCACTGTGCAGGCACAGCTGATGGAAGAGACTGCTTGCAAGCATACAGTGAGGGCTGACCACTGCAGTCTCAGGTTTTTAGGGCTACAGAGAAGCTCACAGACTAGAGGTCAGAGTGGAGCAGTCCCCGGTTTGAGAGGCCAACACTCCGCTTTCGATCACTCACACAGGAACTCGGCTTTCCAGACTGTATCCCTTCACATAATTGGCTACTCTTTGTCTTTTATCCCTGCAATGACCCCATCACCCCTATGTTCTCCCGTGAACAGAACATTTCCACCGGGGGACGGGGTGGGGGGGACCATTAACCAACATGCATTCTTAAGAACATAAGAAAAGCCACTTGGATCAGACCCTTTCCAAACGGTGCTTTGAGCACAGCAGGAGGGGTGGAAGTGTCATGAAACGTCTGGCCAGGCACATGGTGCAGCTCTTGGGAGCAAGATTCAGGGTTGGGATATTAGGACATTAGGATTCAGGATGGAGTGGTGACTTCAAATCCCGTAAAGCCAGGGCAAGTCACTCCTCCTCTGCTCAGACAACCCCAGATTTACTGCCAGGGCAATGCAAGATAATCTGGTATGTGATGTCTGAGGCCCATGGAAGGAAAAGTGGCACAGGTGTGCACGCAGGCACAGGTGAGTACTTGAGTGCAAGTGCACATGCAGGAGAAGGGCAGGCACTCGGGAGAATATGTGGCATATTTTGGGCACTACCAGAAGAAAGACAGATTGATACAACAAATAGAGCCATTCTGGCTGAGGGCGGGATAGAAATCTAACAAATAAACAACAAGGGAATTGAACTTTGTAATATAAATTCTGAAGGCACAAACCTCATCTCTGTGCTTCTGACAAAAGACCAAGAACTGGGAAACGGCGTCTCCCTTTCGGTTTCGTGGCGTGTGTGCAACAGCCCTTTTCCTACCGACAGGAGAGACTGTGCCTCTTTTGGTCTCCCTGTCTTCAAGGACTTTTTCGGGGGTGGTATTCTTAACAGGCTGGATGCTTTCTGGAGATTCTTCTGTTGCAAGCAATTTTGTTCTCCTCCTCCTTTTGGCAGGAATATCATATTCTTTCCTTGATTTCAAAGTCTGAGAAATGTCTTCATCCGTGTAAATTTTATCCATTTCCTCCAAAGATTTAACAACAAGACCTGCTTCCTTTGCCACTTGAGGGTTAAGAAGAGGCCTGCCCCGAACATAAATGAAGGTATATTTGGCTTTCCGTTCTTCTCCTCTCAAGGAAAACGCATCCTTTGCTTGCTTGACACCCATTTCCCACTGGGGGCGTAGTTTTCCTGAAACAGGTTTTAACATCTGTGGAGAAACAACATGAAATAGTTAAGTAAGACCAGGAAGGGGAAGGAAAATCTTATATATTCTAAAGATCAGCAGCCCCCTCTATTCATGTATTCCAATGAATATAGAAAAATAAATGTGTGGGAAAATGCTATTAGCAAAGAATGTTAATTTGGGCAGGGAACAATGATTTGCAAGGAAATGTGGCACAGTTAATGCAGTAATTGATGACATTCCTAAGTCCTGAACAATCTATAGTGCATCCTGGGAATATTCAGGCAGGTATTGTGGAAACAAAGATACATTGGAACAATTCTTACCTTTATTTTCTCCGCTTTGGTAAGGGAATTCTTTGCACTTTCTTGGCATAATTGCTCAAACTGTTCTTCCCCTTTGAATGGTACAAGACTCTTCTCAAACACCCAAGCGCGCTCGGGGGCATCTCCAAAGAACTGAACATGATACTGCCGAAAACTCTTCTTTTGGCCTGAAAATTACAGAAGGCACATTTTCATAATTTATGGCTTACCCAGAGATAGCAACATGCACCTACACAGAAGCAGATTCAATAATATGTCCAAGAATCATGCCTGACACCTCCCAGCCATTGCTTTTCCAAGCTATAATTTGATACAGTATTGTTTTTTTTAATAAAGATTTTATTAAGATTTTAAACTAAAAACACCAATCATCAAATACATCAGACGTACTGGGTCAGCCCCTACTACATATCTTTTTAACATTCTATAGTCATATTCAAATCAATTTATAAAAATTTAAAAACATCTTTAACTCTAAGCCAAGTCCCGTTTCTCCAACCAATCATAAAAAAGGTCCCAAGTTCGATAGAAGTGATACAGTATTGTTTTAATATTGTATCTTTTATCCCTAATATGAAGATTTAACACTGACAGAAGGGCAGAAAGAGATACACGTTTAACAGATGGGAAGTAAACAACAAACTTTTGGACAAACCTGGCTGAAAATTAAATGGAAGGGAAATGTATCTATTTGCCAGGGAACCACAGCAGGAGGCGCTCCAAAGAGAAGCTGCAAAAAGAGGTGGGGGGGCAACAGGACTTCCCCTTTCTAGAGCAGGTAGAGATGCAGAGCAACATAGAGGAGAGGAGGGGCAGCATCACGAACTATCAGTTCAGCACTCAAAATCAAGGGGGTTGCATTGCATTGCTGAGTGGGTCATTTTGTTCCTCTGCTCTATGGGGCGCCTCTTTTCACAACTGTTTTCTTCTTTACCCGCATTTTTCAGTTTTAGCTAGAAAACTGCGTCCTGGCAGCTGTGAACAAGGCAACCTTTATCCAGGCTCACCAGATCAATTTCCATGTATGTTATCTACTCCACCTCCTTGCTCCCTTCAGCAGACAAGGAAATTAAGCTATTCTCTGGGTCCAATAAAGCAGTAACTGCAAATGTGAAAGTATGGAAAAGGAGCGTACCGTTCAATTTTGTGAAGCTATGAAGAAGAGGGTCAGTCGAAATCATGCAGGGCCACCATGGATAGCCGGACACTTTGGACCAAACCAAGTCTCCTAGGTTGTACTTCAATACATGAACTTTCTCATCTTTTCCAGTAAGTAAAGAAGAATCTTCTTTACCAGGAATCTTTAAAAAAGAAGATAAAAGACAGACATTTACAAACTCTGGCAATTTAAATAACCATTATTTTTACCTTAGAACAAATGTGGTAAACTATTTATTGGATTTATCTCCCACCCTTTTTCTTACAAAGAACACAGAGTGGCTTACATACTACTCTTCCTCCTGCTCTCAATCTTATCTCCCGCAGCAACAACCCTGTGAGGTAGGCTGGGCTGAGAGTCTGTGACTGGCCCAAAGTCACCCAGCGGCCTCCATGGCTGAGCGGGGACCAGAAACCAGGTTGCCGGAGTCGCACACTCTTCACCACCACCACACTCTCTGCCTGGTTCACTGCAATTCTGACTTTTCTGCTCACATAAAGTCTTTAGTGCGCTACTGATGAGCAGTATGGAGACATGACTAATCTGGCCAATGGACTGATTAAACACACAGTGCTGAAACTATACCAAGAAGCGAATGGCATTTCAATGCACATAAACAGAGTCCCGTGCTGGCATGCCTATAAATACGTGCATGACTCGAGACTGCATTCTTTTGCAAAAGCAGGTTCCTAGCTCTTATGGAACCGAGGACAGATGCCCTGAGAGAAGAACGAAACAGCTGGACTCGTTCCTACAGAGAGGCCAAGAGCATACATTGTGTGTGACTGACACCTCCTGAGTATGCACTGGTTTGAGCAATATTCCAGAGGAAGCTAGGAAAGAAGGGGGGCGGCTTCCACCTCCTCCATGAAGGCCTTCCTGGGTCCCTGGGAAGAGTCCTACAGCTCCAGTACAGCAAGAGCTTACAAACTGCCCTTCCTAAAGCTTTTGGCTAGCAACAGACCGGCAAATATAACTGCATACATCTGGGTATTATTCCCTTGGTGTTTGCAACATTCAGCCTGCGAGCTCCAGTGGGAGTTCAGAGCAGGCCCAGAACCCTCCCCGCCATATGGTTACTGATCTAGATCTCCAGTCATGGGAGTCGTCCCACCAAGTTTCAGCAATACCTATAAAGTCATGTTGGCTTTAGATAGCAAGAGTTCGATCTCATCCTGTTTGTTTCCCATACTCTGGGTATTAGTGCATGTGCAGCCACTGAAGCCCGGTTTCTTTCCACCTTTACTGAGAGGACTGTTCTGGGTGTGAGTAGGGCTCATCTGTGCCTTGCTGCGTAAGCCTTCATCCACTGTTGCCTACAAATCCGTATCCTCCTCCTGGATAAGGCTCAGCTTAAATAAGCCCGCCTGACGGAATTCTTCACGCTGTGGCTAAATACATTCTTCCCAGCTATGGTGAGGTGCAGCCTTCCCATCACCAGCAATCCGTCTTCCAAAGAGTGTAGTTTGTGGTCCCAGAATCCAAATCTCTCACCTTTGTAGTCAGTTTCTGATACATGAAGGCTTTGAGGGCTCTCAGTACAAACTGAAAGCCACAAATTGGATGGCTTTCAACTCTAACCAGCCGATGGGTTTGGGTTTCCTTTCTAGAATATAGGCACTACCTTCAGAGGCTTTTTTTTTTTTGGACACTTATGGGCTATGCTGATGAATACTAGATCTGTTTGGTACTTTTCAGAGTTCTGAGAACATGGAGAGATCCAGTTATCGATCCTTGTGATGATCCCTGAGTTGCAAGGCATACCCAGTCTGTAGGTTGCTGCTAGTGTGTCTAACAAAATTTAGCCTACAGCCAACTGCCTCCCCCCCATGACGGCTGATAGCGCTGTGGTACTGGAAGCTTACAAGGAAAAGACTCTGTGGCTATTTTCTTCTGCTGAGCCTTCTCCTTTTTTGGTACAGAAGTCAAAAACTTGTTTTCAACCAGTCACAAGTACCCAAATGGTGTTATTCCTTTGAAAGGAATAATCAAGACAGAGAGCCTTCGGTGGAAGTGCTTAGAGCAGGTTAGTACTTCAGCGATCAAGGTTCTTGCGCACAAAATGGAAGACCCTGCAATTAATTAAGGGATTAATCATCCAGATGTTTGATGTTTTAACATCAAATCTGCTTGTGATCACCGCAGCCAGTGAAGGACTCCCTGTTTGCTCTGGGCATTCCAAACTTTGATGAAAAAGCTACCATGGAGGTCATGCGCTCTGCCACTAACTTCAGCCATTTTCTTTCCCCGTATTTACTTGAACCATGGAAAGAACTTTGTTTTGTGATTATTTGTTACCAATTGCCTGGCTTTCATATGTGTAGTAGTGTGGTTATACTTTTCTTTAATATTCATTATATATTAATATGCACTAACCCTAACCTTTTTTGGAAAAGGAGAAAGAATTCTTTTTTGCTCTGAGCTTTTTTTTTGGCTGGGGAGCAAATATGCTCTGCCTGCAGATATACTTTTTTTAATTGCAATGATACACACACAGAGAAAGCCTGTTACGAAATGTGCAGAGAAAAATCAGACTCATGTCCAGTATAAAACTATTGCTATATAGACTTAAAACAAACAAGTGATTCTAACCACAAAAGCAGGTTGCTTACCTGTAACTGATGTTCTTCGAGTGGCCATCTGTGCAGTCACACATATGGGTTCTGCGCCTGCGCAGTGCCTTTGGCCGGAAGATTAACAGCTAACGGTTTTTTGGCGGGGACTCTGCTCCCCCTCCCCCCTAGCAGTATATAAGGAGCAGAGTGCCCGCCATTTTCAGTCTTTGAAAGACCGACGTTCGGTTCCTTATAACATTGCACATTAGTACAAGAAGGGTAAAAATAGCGGTACGAGCTACAGGAGAGATTATAATATTTAAGTAAAAATAATCGAACCACCCATGACACCAAGAGGGGTCGGAGGGTGGGTTGTGTGACTGCACAGATGGCCACTCGAAGAACCAATCAGTTACAGGTAAGCAACCTGCTTTTCTTCGTCGTGGCCTCTGTGCATCACACATATGGGTAGAATAACAAGCTTACCCCAACCGGAGGAGGGAGGTGTCATCATCGAAGGACAGATGAAAGTACAGCTCTGCCAAAAGAGCAATCCTGTCTGGCACGGACATCTAGCCGATAGTGTTTGGCAAAGGTGCACGGGGTAGCCCAAATGGCCGCCTTGCACACGTCCTCTATCGGAACTCCCGATGCAAAGGCTGAAGAGGCAGCGACAGCTCTTGTGGAGTGGCCTGTTGGAGTAGACGGTAAATCCAACTTGGCGAGCTGATAAGCTAGGACAATTGTATTAACTATCCATTTCGAAAGGCGCTGAGAGGTAACTGGAGAACCCCTGTCGCGCTCCGAATACTTCACAAAGAGTCTACTTGAATGCCGAAAGGATTCAGTCCTGGATCTATAGAAGGCTAAGCAGCGGCGGACGTCCAGCATATGTAAAGATCTTTCTATTGGATTCGATGGGACCGGAAAAAACGCCGGTAACACAATTTCCTGTTGCATATGGAAAGAGGTAGCAACCTTCGGCAGGAAAGACGGATCCATGCGAAGAACCACCTTTTCCTTGTGAAAATTTAGAAAAGGGGGATCCACTCGAAGAGCGCATAGTTCAGAGGATCTACGTGCTGAAGTCACTGCCACGAGGAAGGCTGTCTTCCAAGAAACGAGGCGTAAATCAATTGTCGCCATGGGCTCGAACGGTGATCGAGTTAATGCATGTAGAACCACCGAGAGACTCCATGTAGGCATTAGGGATTTTACAGTGGGATTCAGATTATTTAAGCCTCTCAAAAATCTTTTTATTAGAGGTTGAGTAAAAAGGGAGAAACCATGTATAGCTCCTCTGTAGTGGGAGAGCGCTGCTATGTAAACCTTTATAGATGAAGGTTTAAGTCCAGACTGATGCAGTTCAAAAAGGAACTGAAGTATCTGTGAGACGGAGGCTGAGGAGGCTGGAAAAGAGTGTACATTGGCGAAGTTAGAAAATCTTTTCCATTTTGCTGCGTACGACTTCCTGGTAGATGGTCGTAGAGCAGATTCAAGAATATACTGCAGATCCGGGTGCAGGCTCTGCTGGGCATGCGTAGTCGGAATAGTAGGCGGTGCCGATACCGATGCATCGCCCCGGGTCACCGTATCCGCCATGCGGTCAGTTTCAGGGATTGCAAGTCTGGGTGACGAACTGTGCCTTCCTTCTGGGTGATTAGATACGGGAGAAGAGGGAGTTGAAGAAAATCCTCCCTGGAACTTGAAGGAGAGTTGGGAACCACGGCTGTCGTGGCCACCATGGAGTGATTAGTATTCCTGTAGCTCCTTCGTGAATAATCTTTGCAAGCACTCTCATGATAAGTGGGATCGGGGGAAAAGCGTAAAAAATCACTCCTGTCCATGGAATCATGAAAGCGTCGCCCAGGGAGTCCTGACCCACTCCCGCTCTGGAGCAATAGGTCCTGCACACTCTGTTCCCTTGAGTGGCAAACAGGTCGATGTCTGGTCGACCCCATCGGTGAAATAACCTGTTTCGAACCCGACGGTCTAACTCCCATTCGTGGGAGCGTGACATGTGTCTGCTCAGAAGATCGGCTTCTGTGTTGTCGGTGCCCGCAAGGTGAACTGCTAGAATAGTGATACCTCTGGGTATACACCAGTCCCAAATCTGCATGGCGAGACATGCTAGCTTCCGGGATCGGGTTCCTCCTTGTTTGTTTAAATAAAAGACCGTCGCCACATTGTCGGAGGTCACCTGAACGATCTGATGGAGGAGCAGATCCTCGAAAGCTTGCAGTGCTTTGAAAACGGCAAGGAGTTCCAGAAAGTTGATATGATTCCTGCCGTCCCGATGGCTCCATCTCCCTTGGGTACTTAGACTGGAGCAGGTGGCCCCCCATCCCAGCAGTGACGCATCGGTACCTAGGGTTACTGTGGGGTACCGAGGTTGAAATGGAACGCCGACGGTTAAATTGGCTGAGTCCGTCCACCATAGCAGGGAGTGGAGAACTGAAGCCGATAGTCGGATTCGTTTGGTAGGAGGGTCTATTTGTGGTCGAAACAGTTTGTTGAATAACAGTTGAAGGGGATGTAGCCGTAGTTTGGCATGAGGGACCACAGCGATGGCAGCAGACATGTGCCC